GTTGGTGAGCCTCCCATGGAAAGCAGTAGTATTGAGGTATTTCGAAGAGGAAATGAGGACTACGCCAAGAATACATGCTCTCGTGGCAGTACCTTACGTAAGGACAGAATTACAACTCAGGCTCGCCTGGTGCATGATGGGACTGACTCGCGAAGAATATGATTCAGAAGAAAGGAAGAGATCAAAAGAGGAAAAAGTTTTCCTTATGACGAATCTGAGGGATCTGATAGTCCAGGAGGGAGCAGCAGTAGCGTGTGCAAAGCGGAGAGACGCTCTCTGTTTCATTCGATTCCTGATAGAGCAGATCTCAATACCTGCATTAAGCACTTGTGTTAAAATGTTGAAGGAAGGCGATGAACGAACGAAAGCCATGTTCTTACTAGCAATGCTGGATATGCAGCAAAGTAAACCGATGAGGGTGAACATGAAAGAACCTGAGGAATTGGAACCCATGAAAAAGATAGACGAGATCAGGAGATTCTCAAACAAGGAGTTGAGGCTCACTAAAGAATCTATGGGAGCATTGCCGAAATCCAGTGAATACTGTGGACCGATCAAGAAGAAGTCATATAGCTATGTATCCGGGATTATAGGGATGGCATACAATCCTTTCCTGAGTGAAGACATACGTGATTGCTTCTTTGATTATGAGCAGGCGGTGTTACTAAGATTCTGGACGTCCAGAATTGTGACGACTAAGAGCGTTAACAATCCACAGGCCAAATTGGGATTGGTCTTGGAAGAAGAGGTGACTGCACCTTCAGTACCAAAATCCGACAAGAGAGTGGAATTTGGGTTGGGATTCTCAGATGAATTACTGATAACGAGCTTGATGGCAGTGTGGGAATTGATGAAGCCATCGTGGTGTCCTAGTCCCAACGCTGACTCAATATTACGGGCGACACAGGACATACAGAGGGAACTGAATGTGGACTGTAACCTGCGTGACCTCAACATCATATATAATGTGATGACAACAGCCTCTAAGAGCAACGGAGAAGATAGAGTGGAGTTGCCTGGCTGGGGACCAGAAGACTGGGTCAAACCTGGTAGCTGTCTGGTGGAAGTCTGTGGACTAGAGGGTCACGTTTGTGGAAGTCTAGACTGTGTGAAAACCCTGGAGAAACAACACAAGCAGTTGACGGTATTGTTTGGAAATGTAGTGATGAAAGCAAGAACGGAAACGGAACTGATAGCAGATTGCCATGGAGGAACCGATGTAAATCTAGTGACAGCACTAGGATTCTACAGCATGTTTGGTTCTTTAGAGTCACTATTGAATCTAGAACAGAAACATGAGATGGTCACAGCCATCAGCGTAGAAGTATTCCCAGGGGTTCTGCAGACTGAGCAGAAGTATATAGGAAAATGGAGGGAAGCAATCGAAACGGAGATGAACATCACACACAGCGAAACTTATTGTAGACCATCAGGAGCACGATATTTGGTGGGTTCAATGTTGGCTCCAATGTGCAAGAGCAAGTATCCTGTACATTTCGTAGCTGTGGATGTGAAGAGTACAAGGACGATTGTGGATCAAGCCTTTTCAGTGCCGAAGTGCGTGAGGTTGGCAAGAATGTCTGAAAAGTCTTACGAGTTACTGTGTAAGATTTTCTCAGCAGTCCCAGAAAGAACCAAAGAGGAGTTGGAGTCAATACTAGGAAAGAAGTTCATGGGATATGTGAGCGGGAACTTCAGTGACTTTGAAAAACAGAAACAGAGAGGATCAACTGTCACAGATTACAATGCAGTAGATGAGAATGATGAGATCCACCGAGTGATGATGGAAGTGGAGCCATTGCTGGAAGCTTCGGGAAAACGGAATTGGAGGAGCATCATGTTGACACATGACGAGTTTCCTTGCCACTGCTTGCTGCAGACCTGGTGGTATCCCAAGCGTAGTAATCTGATGTTGATCTGGGACTCTGGAGAGCTGCTCTCCATGGGTTTACCAGATTCATCACAGCCCATAACAATAGTGATAGTGGGAGTTATGATGGCGATACGATGGCTGGAAGCTCATGTGAGAGAAAATAATAGACAGGAGGCACCGACGAGAGAACAATTGCAGAAATTAGATTGTCTAAAAGATTTAGATCTTTTTGAGACAATGTGCAAAGTTCTAAACATTCCGATGGAAGTGAAGAAGATATGGGCAAGAAAACGATTGATGCCATGGTTCAGAGCTAACATGACTGCATGGTTGTACGAGTATGCGAAAAAGCATATGTCGAAACATGGCAGAGTGTACAGTGAATATCAGCACACTCTGCCATTTTCAAGCGAGCTTTCGTGACCCATCGGAATGCAGTGACCACCGCTGTGAAAAGAATTTCCAGTACGAGCGAGCGTAGTGGAAATGAGAAGGCAGAGATGCTGAAAGAAGATTTGGAAAGAAACGTGGCGTTGTGTCTCCACAACAGCTTCTGTAGAAACAGAGAATCAAACGTGGATCCCCTACCTTGCTGTAAACAGAGGGTGGAAGAGCAGAAGTGTTGGAGGACGGCTTCCAACAGCGTCAGGATAGTCAATGACGTGCTACAAGACACGGAGACCGAGAGTGCAGAGTCAGCGTCACAGGAGGAGGAAATGGAGCATTGATGAATGGTCGAGAAAACAAGAGGCAACAAGAAAGAAAATTAGAAGAATTTAGAAGTTTTAGAACTTCTAAACGACGAAAAAAGAAGAGAACAAAGGGATGATGAAGAAAAGTTAAAACTCAGAATTGTTTTATGTGTGTGAAAAACTCAAGTGAGAAACCAAGCAACCAAGTTGTAATTGAAAACTGAAACATTTAAGTTGAGTTTGGAAATTGTTGCATTTATAAATTTGCATTTTGGTTTTAGTTGAAGTGGCTTTAGAGACACTCACTTATTATTTATTTAGAGAGGCTTGAGGGAAGAGTATATTTAAATATTTCAGCCTGCATGATTGTTTTTAATCACTTAGGAAGACTGATAACTTTGTGGTGACATGAAAAACTTGAGTAACTTCTTGAGGAGGGAGGTTGTTGCATTGTTCTTTCTAACCACAAAGTTTCTTAGTTTTAATATTCAGGACAATAAACAAGCAAGATTTCCGAAGGGAAGGAGCATAGTAGGATAATTTTAGCTTGTTGGTTGGCAGGACTGTCCTGCAAGCCAACACCTTTTAAATCTAGGAGAAAAAGTTTCAATCGGGATATTGACACTGGAAGTCAGAAAATATGTTTTATCTTAAGTCATATCCTCAATGTGCAGATTAATGAAAGAATTTGAAGGCTATAGTGATGTAGTATGATGCCATTTATATTCTGCAGTGAGTCGATGTGACGTAGGTAAAAGTAATTTCGTGCATTTTGTAAATTCTGTTCGATGACACTGTAACCATTTAGAACATTGCGCGATTCAATGAGGACATTGACCGGACTGTCCGGGGAGTATGTGACATTCGACCAGAATGGCCAAAATGCAGTCTCTGCAGAATTCGGTATTTTAGCAGCAAGCCTTCCGAATTGGCGATTTAGAACGGATAAGGACGTTATTTGAACGATTAGCCAAACGGTGAAGGCTAGAAGATTCTGGAATTCTAATTTTTAAAAATTCGAATTATGACGTCATATTTCTGAGAAACGTCAGAGACGGCCATTTTAGCTAAAATAGCAGAAAGAAACAGAACAACTTTTTCTGCGATTACGAACAGTACCAAATCGAGACTGAAAGAACAACAACGAACTATCGAACAGCAGAGGACGTTCCGAGTTGCAACTATTGTGCTGTTACAATAGTTGCAAGGCCGTTGCGAGCAACGGTGAAGGGTAAAACCCAGCCTTCCGAGTTATTGTGAACTGGATATTAAGAAGCTTGATTCACCGGATTCAAGAATCCGGAAGGGTCTCGGGACGTGGACTTTTATGAACTTATATTGAATTTTAGCATCCGTCATGTCCTGACTTGAATTTAATTAAGATCTTAATTCGTTTTGACAAGGATGAGGTGCTAGGAGTTGGGGGAAAGGGTTGATCCATCTTCGATGGAGATGATGATTTTTATCTACTGAACAAAAACAATAGTAATATGATAAGTAGTAGCCCTGTTTTTAGGAGTGACCTCGTGGTCTGGGGATACTGAGACCCAGCCATGAGCTCACTATTTTTGCATGTAATTCAGTTAATTTGAGCGTTCTGGTCGAAGCCGGAGAACAGTAGCGTTTTTGTCAGCCTGATGTAAGAAAGACCACCGAAAAGTACTGGCTTGGTAGAGACGGTGAAAAACATGCAAAGCTCTGTTTAGACGCTAGCCAGTCGTCTTAAGACTTAGTTTTGTTATCCGTCGATATGTATCTTCCGGGCGAATGTTACATTCAGTTAATTTGAGCGTTCTGGTCGAAGCCGGAGAGCAGTAACGTTTTTGTCGACCCGATGTAAGAAAGACCACCGAAAAGTACTGGCTTGGTAGAGACGGTGAAAAACATGCAAAGCTCTGTTTAGACGCTAGCCAGTCGTCTTAAGACTTAGTTTTGTTATCCGTCGATATGTATCTTCCGGGCGAATGTTACATTTTTTTTATATATATTTAAGTCCAAAAATAGTTTTGGCTTAGAATATACAAAATGTCAATCGAAAAAATTTGAAAAACCGACAAGTTAGTTTAAGAAAACACTAAGTAAGATAAAAAATCTTAGAAATTTAAGCAAAAGTAAATATTACGGAATTCTTACGGAATAATTCTTAAATTTGATTGGTGGATAGATTTTTTTCTTAGAACCATTTAATAGTCTTCTACGATGTTAAATTGTCTTAAAATCATTTTACATCAAATTTATAAACATGGCGATGGACATAGTTCGGAAAACCATAAGAGTTTTCGGAAGCTCTTGCGTTCAACGATTTCGTTGAAGCACCCTAGGTGCGAGTCCTGCGCTAGTCTTCATACTTAAGTAGTCGCAATATAGGTGGTTGCAATATATGGTCGATTTGGTCCGCGAACAAAGATGTTTGATTTTTTTTTGACAGATTGAATGCAATCATCTTGAAAGCATAAAATCATCTTTAAAGTATAATTTAGTCATGGTTGAATTTTTCCAAACGCCAGGGCTTCTTGTTTCCGATGAATAGGTTTCGGATTTTATGTTGAAGGGACTCCTGACTGTAACCTCGGTTACTACGATACTTTTGACTTCTGATTATTTCGAAAGATAAAGAAAAAAGGGCTTTGTTGATCGTTTCAGAGATCTTAAATTTTGCATCTATGGAATGAATTGAAAAAGGACTAGCTGTTGAAATATGGTATAAAAGAGCTCTCTTTGATGGCAGAAGAAGAGCACCAGCAAGCTGCGGTTGAAGATCCAGAGGTAGGCGAGGACAATGCTCAAGATGAAATTGACAGTGGAACGCTTAGTCTTGAGTTGGTGCAGCCTGCAGATCGCTTCAATGTTGTGTACATATGCCTTGTGGTAGTTGGATCTGGATACTTGATGCCATATAACAGCTTTGTTACATGTGTGGACTACTGGCACGGAGAGTTTCCAGACTATCCGGTTGAGTTTCTGATCTCATTTGTGTATATTATAGTCTCGTTTTTCTCAGTTTTACTGACTAATTTACTCGTCAAGGTAATTTCGACGCACACGAGGATTGTAATCGGATATGTTCTGTCACTTGGACCTCTGATTTATGTATCAGTAGTGCATCTATGGTGGAATGCTTTCTCTAATAAAGCGGTTTCGCTGGCTAGCTTGGTCATTGCGTGCGCAGTGTCAGGAATTGGCTGTTCGATCCAGCAAAGCAGCTTCTATGGTTACAGTGGAATGTTGCCGCCGCGATATGTTCAGGCAGTAATGGTTGGCGAAAGTCTGTCGGGAGTCTTAGTAAGCTTAAACAGAATCGTGACGAAATTTTACGGACCTGATCTTGAGATGAACACGTTGATATTTTTTGTGCTGTCATGCCTTCTTTTGATTTTCTGCTCGTTTTTGCACCAGTACGTCAAACGTACAAGTTTCAGTCGTTTCTATACTGGAGATGTTTCGTGCAGGTACCACTCGAGTAGAAAAGGAAGAACTGATAGTAACGATACAGTCAATTCGAGGCACGAGGCAGAACTTAATTCCAATGACAGTTCGGATTCGAAGACCGAATCGCAAGTTGTTCGACGAGTAATTGAAGGAACAGTGCCCAGTGCTTCCATGGGATTCGGGGCTCTTTCGAATGACGTGGAGCAATTGATAGAGGAGGAGGTTAAATCGCGAGGAAATTTTTGCCCAAATTTTAAAAAGGGGTTTCAAAAGAGAATGGACATAATTCGCTACAAAGAGCTTTGGGTGCATATGTGTGCGATAAGTAGTGCCTATTTATGCACGCTGTTACTTTTCCCTGGATTCGAAACGGAAGTGAAGGCAACAGGAGACGACCTGGAATATCTGCAACACGAAGGGGTTGATGTTTCTTGGATTCCAGTTAGCATGGTCACGTGTTTCAATTGCTTCGACTTGCTTGGAAAAATCCTTTCAGGTTGCATCGACCCACGACGTGCGAATCCAAGGTTAATTTTACACGGCAGCTTAGTGAGGTTTCTAATTGTACCGCTTTTCTTACTATGTGTTTACCCGCAAGAGGATCCGTTTTTCAATAACGTAAAACTACCGCTGGCATTGACAGTAATACTAGGGTTCACTAATGGCTATTACGGCTCAGCACCCATGATTATGGCTCCGCAAACTGTGTCCACGGCATCTGACCGAGAGATTGTGGGAAATATTATGACGTTTTCATACTTCGTCGGACTTGTTCTAGGAGCATCGGGGGCATTCATCCTGAAATATTTCATACCCAAAATTTAGTTAGTAGTTGAGTTTGCATGACTGAGAAATTGAGCTTGTAGATTTGTTTTAGATTTTTGCGAATAGATAATTGCATAATATTAGAATGTAAATGGCTGCGTAGACGAGTTTTTGTAAAGCTTGTAAATAGACTTATAGATATTACTTTCTATCCTTTCCAAATTGTAAAACAAATATTTTATTTATATTCAAAATTTTGATGAATTGAAATTTCAAATAGTTTTCATTCATAAAATTTCAAATGGATAAAAATTTTGAATGTGAGTTAAAGTCAATGAATTTATACTGAGGAATTGATTGAAAATAAATGACTACTATGTTAAGTTTTATTTCAGATCATTGTTTTCATTTCCACCCGGAAACAAAATGAAGCATGCAAAACTTGGAGCTACAGATGCCGTTGGTGTTTACTGTCGCGTTAGACCAATTGATGACGACGAAGAAAGCTGCATAACAGTACAAAATGAACAGCAAGTGTTGCTGCGGGAACCAGAGCAACGTGCGCAAGCGAAGGGAAACAATGCTATCAAGGAATCGACATTTAATTTCTCGTTTGTCTTCGACCAAGATGTGACTCAGAGAGAAATTTTCGACGATATAGCGTACAACCTCATAACCTCTCTTCTTAGAGGGAAAAGCTCTCTGCTTATGACCTACGGAGTCACTAGTTCCGGAAAAACGTACACTATGAACGGCAAACCAAGCGACATTGGGATCTTGCCAAGGTCTATCGATGTTCTATTTAACAGTGTGGGGAACTATTTGGCTCACAAAGGAGTCTTCAAACCTGATAAGTTGAATGGATTTGATGTTCAAAGTGAAGCAGACGCGATTATTGAGAGACATCGTAATTTGGAGAGAGGTCTGAAGGGAGACCCGAGTGCGACTAAAGGGTCCTCGGGGTCCAAGGCGAAGCAGGAGTTCCGACATCGAGTGAGCGACGTGCGAAAGATCCCGGAGGTCGATGATGAAAATGTATACGCCATTTTTGTGAGCTACCTCGAGATTTACAACAACTATGTTTTTGATTTACTCGACGACGGCTTTGAGAATACAATCACAGGCGAGAGGAAATCAAAAACGATTCGGGAAGATTCTAATAGAGTGATGTTTGTGCAAGGGGCAAATGAGGTTGAAGTTGAAAATGTAGACGAAGCTTTCTACTGGCTGAACAAAGGTCAACATAGGCGAAGATTCGCAGATACTGCTTTGAATCGAGAGTCGAGCAGAAGCCACTCGATTTTCAAGATACGAGTTGTCCAAGCGCCGGTTGAGAAAGACAACGAACCAATCAACGATCGCAATTGTCTTTTAGTCAGCCAATTATGTCTTGTAGATCTAGCTGGAAGCGAACGGTTAGTTAGAACAAAAGCAACTGGCAACAGATTGATTGAGGCAAAGAATATAAACTCGAGTTTGATGGTTTTGAAGAACTGTATCGATGCACTGAGAGAGAATCAAAAGGATAAAACGTGCACGCGAATCGTGCCTTACAGGGACAGTAAACTGACTCATTTGTTCCGAAGTTACTTCGAGGGTAATGGTTTAGTAAGAATGATTTGCTGTGTGAATCCACATGTGAACGAATACGACGAAAATCTTCATGTTTTGAACTTCGCCGAGTCTTGTCGTGAAGTGGAGATTCCGTGCGTTGATGATAATAAACGCGAAAAATTAAAGAAACGAGCAAACAAGATATTCGAGAGTTCGATGATGAAGTTGTCAGGAACTGGTAGTTCGGACGCCAAAAGACGTTGCACTCGATCTTTTCCTAACTTCCCATTTGACGATTTGCCCGACCCGAAGGACCACGACAAGTTTTTCTCGATACTAACCGAACATCTAACTGAGGTTGATGCTCTAAAGACAGAGTATTGGAGCTACTATGAGGCTGGTTACAGTGAGTGTCTGGACTTACTGAATCAAGGGATCCAAGAGAGTGAACAAAAGGAGAATGCTGTACGAGAATATGAAGAGAAATTGGCTGCTAAGTCGAAGCAAGTTGCTAACTTGGAAAATCGAATCAGAAGTTTCGAGAAAAAACTGATGCGCTCAGAAGCCGAGTTGCGCGATATGAAGCAAGAATTGTCAGAAAAGGAAAGTTCAGCAGATAAAGAAGCATCGAGTAGTGCTAGGATTATTCGTGAGCTGAAAAACAAGCTCAAGTTTGAGCGAGAAATGTATCAAAACGATTTGGCTAAACAACTGAAAGACTGTAACTCATCATGGCGGATAAAATGGGAAATGGAAAATGCCAAGTGGAAAAATATTCAGCAGCAAATAAACACGAATGGAGAGATTTTTGCTGTCGAGGGTTTGCGAGATATGTTTACAGTTCCGGAGCCGGTCAGCATCGAACCTAAGACCCCTGGAGGTACAAATAAGGGAACTGGTAGTGCGCCTATGAGTGCGAGACGAAGGCCTATATCTGTATGCGATAAAGACGATGAAATTGAAACAGAAGATGTTGTGATTCCATCATCGTCAGGCGGGTCCAGCAAGACTCCAGTGGTGGCTTCGAAGGCCTCGACTGGGACTAGTGACGGAAGAGGTGCTCAGTCTTCCTCGAAGCCCTTTCGAATGAAGCAAAGGAGGTCGAGGTCTGCTCAAAGATGGGTAGGAAGTTGATGTGTATTTTTTTTTCAAAATGAAATTTTCGACAGTTTTTAGGTTTGCGAGCATAAATACAAATGTGGGCTGTTTAGTGAGGAGGGAACTTCCATGCATGGGAAGACTAAGATAATAGGTTCGATGCTGGTCAGGGCTTTTTTTATGAAATGATTTTTTCTCGGAGAAGTTTAATTACGGACTGTTTTGATTGCTTATGTAACTGCAAATTTGCGACCTCTAAGTTTGTATAATTTCTTTCTCATCGCATCTTTTTGAATAGTTTTGTTGCGTTTTATGCCTTTTTGGTGTTTCAGAAGGTGGGGGGATTTTCACGTTGTAAACTTCATAGCTCTAATTATTTTATGGTAATTTTGTTGTCGGTTCAACGATGGTTTACCCAAAAATTAGGTTGCGCTCGATAATTTTTTCTGGCTAGTAATTTAATGCTGTCAATTGAATTTCTTGGAATGATTTCCTCAACTTGAACATCAATCGAGAAAGTTGGATGAATTTGTAGATATAGTATTTTGAATGTAGATTGTTTTCCGAATTAGTAGCTCCGGCTCATTTTCTACGTTTCAGTTGTATCGCAAATAGTGCGAAACTCTGCCTCGTCTGTATTTTTTATGGTCGCGATTAGTAGAATTTTTTTCGGGTTAACAACTTGTTTGACAAAATCAATTGAATCAACCTACAATTGAATCACCTTCGGTCCAACTGGTGTCTGCTGAATGATTGGCGGCATTGTTTCCGCTTTTCAAAACTGTTCAGTTTCTTATATGAATTTCAGATGCCTTGCTTGGAATAAGGGCCTAGCCTAGAGTTCCTGTTTCATAAAAAAGGTATTATGAAAATGTTTGGGATTGGTTTTTTAAAATTTTTTTTGAGACGCTTTGGAAAGTTTTATCATTTTTGCAAAAAAATAGTTTTTCACAAAAATCCGTACACCGATTTTCAAAAAACGAAAATCCTTATGTGTCTGCATATCTGGGACTAAAAAAATTTGGGAATTTTGTTTCAATGAATACAGAGGATTTGGAAGGCTCCTCTGCATATGCGGCTACGTCCAAACTTTTTTTACACTTAAAGTTATGGCCCTCGGAATTGTGAAGTTTTTCTTTTTTTTTGAGCGTTTTTTAGTTGTTTTGACTGTTCCAAAAAACTAAACTCCCAAACCTGAGTTTGTGGATTCAGTGGAGATCACAGGTAGTTTGCATTAGCGGTCACTCACAAATTTTTTACACAAAAAGTTTTCATCCTCGGAAAAGTCAATTTGCTGATTTTGTGAGCGTTTTTTCTAATTTTAATGAATTTTGTCGAAAAATACATTCCCATATCTGATATTGTAGATTCAACTAAAGAAGGGGTAGTGGAAAGATCGTTTGCAAGCGCGACTACGCGCAAAATTTTTTCATACAAAAAATAATGGCACTCAGAAAATCAAAATTTTGTTTTCTTGACCGGTTTTTGAATTTTTTTGACTGTTCTCGAGAAATACCCTGCCAAACCTGGGTTCAATCGAAAATGCAGTTCGGGCGAATTCCTTCTGGATAAGCGACCACTCACAAATTTTTTAACTCTATAAGTTACCGTCGTCGGAAAAGTCATTTTTTGAGCATTTTTTAACGATTTTTTATTACCGAAAAGTACCCTCCCATATCTGAGAAGTGGGTTCAATCCAAAGAACTGGTTGTGGGAAGCTCTTTCGCTCAGGCGACTAGGCCAAATTTTTTCGACACAATAATTTAGTGCCCTCGGATACTGTTTTTACCGTTTTCGAAATTTTTTGAATTTTCTCTGCCAAACCTGGGTTTTTGGGTTCAATCGAATTTGCAGTCTGGGAGAAGCTCTTCTGCATAAGCGGCCACGCGCAAATTTTTTGAAACAAAGCTATGATTTTCGGAAATGTCAACTATCTCATTTGTTGACCGTTTTTTGGACTTTTCTCGATCACTATCATGCCAAATCTGTTATTATAGGTTTAATCGATACAACAGGATGTTGGAAGCTTACCATTGTAATTTCAAAGGACAAGTTATTTTGAAAAAATGTTTTGACCTTTAAACAGGCAAAAGTTTTGAAACTTCGGCCGTTTTTTGGAAGTTTTGGAATTTACTCGAAATTTATCGTGCCAATTATCACTGTTCAATCTAGAAACACAATTTTAGGAGTCTTGTCTTTTTTACCGGCCATAAATTGCTTTTAGCAGAAAAAAGTTTTGGATTTCGGAAAGTCTAGTGTTTGAACTTCACCGTTTTTTAAAAACTTTTTGAATTTTCTTAAAAACTACCCTGTCAAATCTGAGAAGAAAAGTTCAATGGAAAGAAGTGGTTGCGTGAATTTTTCCTGCAGAAGTGGCTACCTTTTTTGTAAGAGAATTCTTATGCCTGTGAGAAAATTCCCAAATCTAAAATTTTCACTTTTTGATGGGACACATTTCATACCGCATCAGTATAACTAATTCAAAAAAATATCAATCACTTATATTCAGCTATAGCTGGGCTTTTTTGGTTCACCAAGTAAATTTTTGGTTCACCTAGTTTTTTTTTCAACATTTTTCATTTTTTCCTTGCTTATGATTGTGTTGTATCGCAAGTGATGCGAAGCTCCGCTTCGCCTCGGTGAAATAGATTGCGCTGTCAATCCAGTTTTAAGCTCAAAAAATGCTCGTAGCTGCAAAAGTTAAACGCAGTTTTTTATTAGGATTCATTAGTGTTTGCGTTTAGGTCGAGCACAAGGACGCTGACATGGTTAAAACAGGGACCGTTTTCAAGGCTAGTTTGAAACACAAGCGAGTAGTGAATGCAGCGCCAACTCAGAAAGACATGCGACACCAGAGCAATTATATGTTACAGCATCAAGAGGTGGACACCGAAGGCGAAGTGGAGACTAGGCTGTACAAGGGGGACATTATTCCGACCATTGGTGGGGGGTCACAGGTGGAGTTCAAAGACGTGGAGACTCTAATCTGCAGGTCACCCAGCAAGGTCAGTGTTGTATGCGAAGAACAATTGGGTCCCCCCAATATACCCATCTCCCCCACCCGACATTAACATGAAGTCTACGATGTGATCAGTTGTTTTACAGTTGATTAAGAGGGCAGAATTAGCTGAAAACTAGTGTTGAATTTCGTATCAACTATTCTACGTGATCGAAAATTTTTTTGTTGAGAACGGTTGAAAATCCACGATAGGCTTCGAGAATTCAACCCAGACAACAAACACTAAAGTTTGAATTAACTTGCTTAAACTTGTTTATTTCTTGCTACATTGGAATCTATTTAATTTTTCTGCTATTTGAAAAACTCGCACTGAGGGGAAGGAACGTGATTCAGGTGTTTTTTCTCCCAGCATCACCAGGTATCTTATAGAAAAGCGGCATAATATTGAGTGAGTTATTATATGTAAGAATTTTCAATCATGGTTCTAACTGCATGAAATTTCTCGGAACGTCGTCTCCGAGAAAATTTTTTACTTTTACGATAGCAAGGGTCTTATAATCGGGAACTAGATATTTTTCCGTGAAACCAGAGTTTTTAATTTTTCAGGCTTGTATTTTTGGCTTCAAAAGCTGCAAAAAGTCACCTCCGTTTATCCAAAAACTTATAAATGCATTGTTTGAATTTTGATTGTATTTATTCCATTGTCTGCTGAAATTGGTGATAGTGAAAAGAGCAAATAATGCGAAAAAACGTGATTGACATAAAGTTGATCTTAATTTAAGATTTACCAATAAGACAAGTATAACAGAATGTGCTGACTTTATTCATGAATCAACCAGCAAACGAAAGTAAACTTGACTGAAAAACCAGATGTACACTCTCACAACTTAGATCTGGGTACACGAATCTTTTAAATAGTTATCATGACAGACTGAACAACAATGTCACCCGACTTCTGTCCAAGCTGTTACATAGAACCACACCACAGAAGATCTCTCTAAGTGCCGGGTAAACCCTATCTCCCGTAGAAGCTGCCGAACACCTGCAGCCTAACATATAACCTCATGTAACGGAAGTTTTTCTCGGTTCTTCCCGCTAACTACAAACTGCCCGCTTAAACCGGGCATGGAGTTTCACGCAGTTCTCCGCACGACGAAAAACCTGGCCTTTAGAACGATCATATTTTCACCATATCAAACCTCCCTCTTTAGCGTGCTATACAGAGAGAAAGAGAGAGAAAGAGAGGATGTCGACACCAGCACTAAGACGCTATCACTGGAACAGGTGGTTCCCCTTTTAAGTCGGTTTTGCCGCTATCGACCCGGTGGAACTGCAGTGATAGATTTGACAGGACGATAAACAACTAAAATTCCTAACCTCTGTCTCTCAAACATAATCGATCTCTCCAATTCAATCAGAAGTTGGAGCAGATATCGATGTAGCTACAAGAACAACAACCAAATTCATGAAAAAAACGTAATTTTTTTCTTTCAGTTTAGTGTCGCTCTTAGTGCGTGGTGTGTTTAAAAACTATACAATTGCGTAGAAGTTTACTCAACTAGGCATGATGCTAACAACGCAAAAGACGGATAATCAACAGAAAAAGAACAAAAATTTCAACATTTAACATTTATCTGCAAAAGTAGTAAACTCAGTTTTCGTCCTAAAAGTTAAATTGTTTCATATAACGAGCGGACTTTTTCTCGAAATTTTTGTAATGTATTTTGAATCACGACTGAAAGAGCTTTAATATGATATATCAATCGAACCTACACGATGATTTTTTTGGAACTGGTTTTGCGTGGAAAAGAAAAAGAAAAAATTGAAACACATCTGAATACAAATTTCCTCCTATCAAAATGTCAAATATGAATTATTGTTAACTGACCAAGAGCTTTCATGGCGATTTTTGTTCCGATTTTTGTTTGAGTAGTTTATTTTTTTTGGATGCCTTTTCTTGAGTTTCAAGTGTGGTCTCATATTCAAGACCTTTCAGCCGTGATTTGGTGTCCACAAAATCAAAAACGTCTCAGTTTTGGTTGGATTTGTTTTGCCTGTGTCGGACAAGTTGACAAGAAATTTAAGAATGACCCAATGAGAGAGAACTTACAATTAAATACTACAGCATTTTTTAAGTTATATTAGTTATGTTTAATTTCATTTTTGCAGTTTTTTACCCAAAATTCAATGTTCCTTTACCCAAAATTCAATGTAAAAGAAAGATTTTTTTTTCTAATTTACGCTTGCGATTAATAAGCGATATCAAATCGAATTATACTTATCAAGTGGACAACTAATTAAACAAAATCACTTGAAACACTCGTGGCAGCAGTTGGGAAATCTGTTCTGATTGAATGTCTTTGACCTTGTCTGCTTTTAAGTCGTAATTCGAAGGGATGTTTTTGTTTGTAAACCGACTCTATTTTCTCAACTCTTAATTTTTTTCAATATTTTTTCTGTTTTTTGTTTTTGACGTTTCTAAGATATAAATGGTTGTGGGGTGATGTTATATTTGTTTTGCTGCGTCATAGTTTGTCGTTTGAAGGATAAAATAGTATTCGAAAAGTTATGCGTTAGGGCACGGGAAGCGTAAAAATTAAGTTTCGAAATTTTTTATAGACCATTTTTTTCGGCATTGAGAAAACGTATAAAAATGTAGTGGTTTTTGTCCTATTTTTCAGGCTAGTTGAAGGCCATTCGTTCCTCAGATTTTTTCAGCTCATTGTCTATTTTCAACTTTCTGCTCGCTATGTTTCTGTGTTAAGAATTTGCTCATAGTTTTGAAAAGTCAATTTTCATACAGACAAATCTTTGCGAGATTTAGTTTTTGTTTGTCAAATTAAAATGTGAAGTAACGCAGCTGACAAAGTAAAGAAAATTTGATTTTGTTTTCTCTTATGTTCTCACGTTTTTTCTTTGTAGAGTGGAGTGCAATCCTTCAGCAATTTAAAGTTGAGCCGCAAACCAGTCATCAATGGCACTCAGACTTATAAAAATAATTGCACAGTACTCTGATTTAAACTGAACTGGGCATGCCTATTGCAGCTTTCTGAGTTTTACTCCGATTTGGTTTTTCAAAAATTCAGAAATCATTGAATCAAAATGATGAGGTGAGCTGATATGTCCGAATAAAGTAGAAATAACATGATGCAAGTGTAAGTCATGCAAATTTATTTTGTATATTACTCATTTACTTAATTATCCTTGCGGTAAACAAGGTTATTGCAATCGGGTAATAGACTTTTTTTCCTGTAAACAACTTTGTTCATCGGAATTCTTATCTAGACTCATTTCCTTGAAGCCTCTTAGCAACCAATTTACCGCTACAGATATATTTTGTGCCTGTTGGGATTTTAAATATCTGCTTTATTCGATTTTCTTATGTCGGTTGTAATTTAACCAACTCGATTTGTTAAAATTTCTTGTTTTTTCTTTTCCGGCTTGATAGGTTTCGGCTGTTATAATATCGGCTTAGTGTCATTATATTGCGTCGTTCGAGGAGCGAAAAAGTTTTGTGTGTGTGTGTGTGTGTGTGTTTTGTGATTGAGGGGATTTAATGAATTTTTATAAGTCTTGACTTTTTTTTCAGCTGAAAGGGTTTATGCTAAGGTGTTTTTGGTTTTGTTACCGCTTGGTAATTTTTCGTTCGATGTGAGATTTACACTCTATTTCCTTTCTTCTTTTTGGTTTCAAAACTAGCTCTATTCAATTTGATAGATTTAGTCTTTTTGAATTTTTGAGTAATGAACGTAGTGAAAACTCTATAGGTCTTGCTGATTTTTTTTTTCAGGAAAAGTCTTAAAATATTGATGCACTTAGGTATATATGCACTGTTTGAGTTCAATTGAAATTCATCTGCTGAAAATGACATAAATAGCACTCTCCAAATACGAACATGGAAAGGGCGCGACAGTTTTCTCAAATTGGGTTCATGTTATCGAAAAAGCGCCAATCATAAGTTGTTCCAGAAATTCAAATAGCTCAAAGGGCATTTTTTTTTGAAATTCGAAAGTTTTTTTTTCATGTTTCCTTTTTTTCATGTTTACTTGCGTTCATTTCTCTTTTCTGATCTTCGATTGGCTATGTTTTTGTATCGCAAGTGGTGCGAAGCTCAGCTTCGCCTCTGTGTGAAATGTTATGATAACATTAATTACTTAAGCTTCAAATAAACTTAATTTGTTTTGATGATATTTTTCCTTAGGTTGCTATGGAGGAATCTTCACTGAAAATAGATAGATAGAGGGCTATTTTATAGTAAGATAAGCACTGTTCTAGACTCACTTAGTATACAATCAAGACTGCTCGTATAATGGTGGAGTTCATAACGCGTCTAAAGTAGTTTCATCTGCAAATTCTGAAAAAATACGAGCCAAAAAGTTTGCCCTGATCGATTTGGGAATGGTTATCAGCCCGATTAGGACGGTTTGATAAGACACTCGGCCTTGAACACAGCATTTAGCATTTTTCGATAAGTTAGCATTTTCAAATGAACAAGCCCAAAAATGGCTACAGCTGAAATATGATTAAAATTTTGAGCTCAGGGCAGTACTATCTCTTATCTGCATATACCCACCTCGAGCAAAACTATTCCGTCTTCTCCGTTCTTCCTACCAATGTCGGACACATCTATCGCGGAGACAAGATAGCAGATTTTTTAAGATTCGGTTGAATCATGGACTAATTTAAGATTTTTTCGAAGAGGGGGGGGGGGATGGGCGTTGGAGTTTTAAACATTTATTTTCCAAGTTCTCAAAAAAGGCAATAATACACAATTTGTTTTATAAAAAGTTCTGCTCCGTGCTGCAGGTTAGTTTTTGAACAAGCAGGTAAAAATGCCGTTTGGGTAATTTTTGTGAAGGTTTCAACTAAAACCGTTTTTTTTTGGCGCGCGATTCCCATCATAATAACCATAAACTCCCTTTAGAAAATATTTTGGGTCAAATAATACCCAAACGTGAGGGAACATTTGGGCGATGAAGATAGATATCTCACTATCCCCCCCCCCGCCCTTAAATCCGCACCTGGGTTACATATTTTTGCTTCAACTAAGTATGCGTTGATGTACTTTTCGCCCAAATAACTACTTCAGGATCGTTTCTGTTGTATCAAATAGCTACTGGAATGTATACACAAACTCAAGATTATCAGGGAAGTACAAATTATCAAGAAAATTTTGTTCAATGGTTTGTTGGTTTTTTTACAAATAGTTTTAACATTTCTTGTCATTTTTGGCATTTTGTGTTTTGATTGATAAGGTCAATTTTTAATTCATTCAGCAAATGGAAGCCAACTTAAGTAAATTTCAATTTTTAAAGTTATTATGGTGGAAAAATGGAGCCAGTATTCTTTAAACGAAAGTACGACTCCCAAACATATGTCACATTTTGAATAACAGCATTTCGTCAATTAATGAAATTTTTTGCATGATTTGTTTTGAAAAAGGCTCTACAAGCGAACAAACTCTTCGCCTTATTGGTTTTTGAACATAAATTTATCAATTCACATCTAAAATACCCCATATAAAGAGTCAAGATACTTCTAGAGATACCATTAAACATAGTCATACAAAAACGAGTAACTTTTAAGAACAACCTTTAAAAGTTTTTAATTTGGCAAGGTTTTAAACTTACACCTAACGATTTGCAAACTTAGGATTGAAAGTTATGACATAATGGTGCAAGTGTAATATTTCGGGACAACAGTGATCTCTCTAAATTAATCAACTAAACCGATTCCATCCCCCCCACTGGTTTCTAAATTATTCACTTTTCTCTTTATGTTGCACTGTCACTTGGGCGAAGACTCGATGAGCTAATGAGCTTTCTTCTCTGCGTCCATGTTGGATGTTATACTTTGCAACAGACTATGTATGTTATACATCCAAATGAACCTCCTCTAATAGTTACTTCAAAACAGTGCCAATCATAAGGGCTTTCTGAAATTGAAAGGCTCCCTGAAGGTTTTTTGATTTCTTTAACCTTTTATCAGATGCATCCAACTCTCAGTAGGCTGGCTCTGTTCTTTTGAAGGTCGGTGTAATAGAGCTGAATTTATAGTATTGTTGGGGAAACGAAAAAATGATTGGGTCATTTGTTTTCTATTGCAAATTGATTTGGGTTTTTTGGTGTAAAATATCAAATGGTTTATTTGGTTTTTTACAGACTTTGCATATGGCTGGTTTTGTTGTGCATACAGCTCTCATTTAATTAATGCAATGTCAAAAATTTCCTTTACAGAAAAAAAATGTTCATACATGGCTATGGTTTTGATGTTGCATAGACATTTGTGTCCCAGACAAAATTGTCCGAAGTTAATTTAGATTAGACCTTGTGATATTTAGCTGGCCAATATCTGGACAATTTGTGGCGAAGACACTTATATGGTCTTGGACATTTTGGATCAATTCTGAATAATATAATGGTAAAATTGTGTCAAAAATGTTTTTGAACTTAAAGTTGGCATACTATATCAGTTATTTAAAGTAATGCACGTGGCCAGGGGCGGATATAGGATTTTTTCGAGGGGAGGGGGGCGGATTTTCAAAAAAATTTCGAAAATTTTGACGACCTTTTTTTTATTTTTATGGTCGACCAAATTGATTTTCAAAGCTCTTCTAAACCACTAAAAGGTCCCTGTTTTTGCCAAATTTTCTGCGCCGCGGGCAAATTTTTGAAAAAACAGGTCAAAAAAGCCGTTTTTAGGCACTTTTTGAAAAATGTTGACAAAAAAATCGCGTTTTTTTGGCGCGCGCTCCCCCTCAAAGTTGGTATATATTGGCGCCCCAGGCGCCTTTAGAAAAATTTTAAGATCGGTCGGCAAAAAATGGATTTCTTAAAAAGTACCAAAGGGGGGACCCTTTGTGTCGGCAGAGGGTCGAATCCCTGAGGAAGGACGCGTCCGCCCCCCGCCCCTAAATCCGCCCCTGCACGTGGCGAAGACACTTATATGGTCTTGGTGATTTTTTTTTCAGGAAAAAGACTTAAAATGCTCTTAGGACTACAGGTGTGGATTCATACATATTGATGCATTTATGAATGATTTTAGGTATAAATTGCTGATTTAAATTAACCGACAAAACGAATAAATTTTGAAATTACAAACGCGTTTTTTTTTTCTTCAAATTGTGTTATGATTACACAAAAAAGGGAGTGAACAAAAGTTTCTTAGAATTTCACCAGAATAAACATGGTGCAATTTTTTTTCCAAAATTGTCACCCAAAGTTTTACCCCAAAAGTGGGTCATTTTGGCTTTTTCAATTAATCAAAAATTAGGCTGAAACTACTTTGTTAATTGATGAGAAATATATATCACAAGAAGCCTCTTATACAGCACAACAAAGTTCTAGAAAGGTTGAGTCTCCAAAAATCGGAGTAAATTGTTTGAAATTTGTTTTTAAGCAATGATTTTAGGTTTTATATACTGGTTTTTGGAGGTTCAACATTTCTAGAACTTTGTTGTTCTGTGTAAGAGGCTTCTTGTGATATATATTTCTCATCAATTAACAAAGTAGTTTCAGCCTAATTTTTGATTAAATGAAAAAAGCCAAAATGACCCATTTTTTGGGTAGAATTTTGGTTCAGAAATTTAGAAAAAAATTGCACCAAATTAATTCTGGTGAAATTCTAAGCAAATTTTGTTCTCTTCATTTTTGTCTAATCTTAACCCAATTAGAGAAAAATGCGTTTGAAAATTCGAGTTTTGTTTAATTTGTACGGTTAATTTAAATCAGCACTGTATATGCACTTTTTGAGTTCAAATGAAATTCATCTGCTGAAAGTAACGTAAACATCACTCTCCAATTACGAACGTTGAAATGGCGCGAAAATTCGTGAACGATTTCTAGTTTCGAAAGTGTAATTTAATTTTAAGATTTCCAGTGGAATAAAAACTTTACCTATTGATCCAGTTTTCTCAAATTGGGTTAATGTTATCAACAGCGGCAATCATAAATTGTTCTAGAAATTCATAAAGCTTAGAGGGCATATATTTTTTCTTGAAATTCGAAAAATGCGATTTTTCCAACAAAGCCAGTGTTTTCTTTCTGTTCACTTGCGTTCATTACTCTTTTAAAACGGCAGTCCAGGAGACCATTTTTTTTTGCGTCGAAAAATGTGTTTATGATTTGGAGCTCTCAACAATGGCATAGTTTTCCAAAAAGGCTTCTCAAAAATGGCATAGTTTATGGGATAAAAATTCCGGTGGGGTCCATTCAGACCTCCAAAAATTGGACGGGTCAATAATCTAGGAAGGTATGGTCTATGAAGAAGTTGATTTGTGTTGCGGGGGGTCAGGATTAATAAGTTGTGGAGAGTACTTCTAATGCGCTTTTCATCTCTTTCAGTCCAACGATGAATGGGGTTGGGTAACATCATCTTCTGGAAAACTGCGCTTCGAAACGTACTCTTCTTATCTCTTTACTTTTCTCTCGTTTTCTGTTGAACATGGGGCGTCCTTAAGCTTTTTCCCCAAAATCGTAGTGAGCAGATAAAACATTTGATAAAACAGATGAAACAAGCCAACATTTGATAAAAACTCATTTGAAATGATTTCCGAGAAATTAATAACAAATCAAATATCCCTGTTTGCTGACTATGATAAGCGGCCGGGAATATGTTTCAGAGAAAAATCGCTCTTAATTATTTCTTATTCTTGGTAATTTTCTGAGGATCTTGCATTTCATGTTAGGCGACATCCCGTTCAGTTATAGTGACTGAAATTCCAGACGATGATAACGAACTTGACATTGAGAACCAACAACCATCTTCAGGCATGAAAGCAGCAGCCAAATTGAATCAGAGCTGCATGCGAGACAGTCCAACAATAGAGCAGAGAATGGCAGAACTCAAATCGAACGGACTTTTTTCAGGACACGTCACAGCCGTATCCGGAAGCCCGTCTGGCGCCACATCTTACCATTCTAGCCTAGCAGACCCAGTGGGAATTAAAAAGAGCAAACATTCCACTCAAAACCAAGCTTGGAGCTGAAATGAATTTTAGTTTTCATTTGAAAGTTTGTATCTCTTTAATTATCATCACACTCCCTGAGTTTTCCCCAATTTAAGAACTGCTCAACGGCTAAGATTGTACCTAGAAACGAATAACCCCAGTCTTCAATATGGCCATGTAGTCAGAGAGATCCAGAAATTTTAGTGAATTAGCCGAAAGTTTCACGTTAATATTTTCCGTGAAGTGAATAGAATCAATACCTTTCTGAATATTAGATGATGCTAGAATAATTACTCCAAAAGGTTGCGTCAAGATTCAAAAAGGCTTTAAATATGATTTTGATAAAATTATATTCAATTAATTACAAAGTTTCTTGCCCTGTATTTGTTTTTGCGTTTTAATTGTGTTTTCAATTGCGTTTTACGATATGTTTTGAGTTGTGATTTTCATTTTATGTGTTAGTTAATTTAAAATTGTTTTAACAATTTTTTTTTCAATAAATGAGCATCTAACCTGTCGCAAAAACTCAATTGACTTAAGTGAAATTAAGAACTACGCAGCATTCTCGAAAGATCGTATGAGCAAATCGCCACGAAAGGTTCCAACGCCATCAGTCTTATGACGTAACGTAACTCATGAAAAACAGTCGTGCTCGTTGTTTATTTCTCCTCACTCCAAGAAACCGTCATTACAATAGGTCTCCATAATCGAAACTATTTTAATCTAAGGGCGCTGTAACAACTGTCCCAAAAACAAGAGAATCGGGCAATTTAGCAAGGGACGCTAATTATTTTAACCTCTGACAAATAGGCCGCCATAAGCATGTAAAAAATCATTTTCTCATTTGGGATAGCAAAAAAATATAAAGACCCGGTCTCATCAGGCGCTGTCAAACGCTGCCCTGACTCTTGTACTGGGAGATACATGCTAATCAGTGATGTACATTTAAAAAAAATAAAAATTCAATAAAATTTGTTCAAGAAAATTATAAAAATTGTTGGCATCATTTTAAATTTTTCTGGAACTATTTAAATTATTCTTTAGCAAAATAAATTTTTCTTAGGTCTGCTTTTTTGCAGTTTGTCTACCATTTTTGGGTACTTTTCGTAATTCTGAAAAAAAAATCGAAAGCAGTTTTTTGAGCATAGTTTTTTTTCTGTGGAACTGATATCTGCTAATCAATGTCTTCAAGATCAAACTTGCTTTCATCAAACCTTGTTCGCAGAATTTGATTAGCTTATTAATTATTGCTGCTTGTTATGCTCGCCTAGTGTAGAGGTAACGCTTATGCTGGGTTTGATTCAGAGCAGGTAGTGAACTTTTTAGTGTTAAAAATGTTCAGCTTGAAAAAATTTGTGTTTTCGAAATATCGAGTGCCTGTTTATTTTCTGTCGTCGGTTAAGTTGCCACATGAATTTTTCTTCTGATCTAAGCTTTTTTTTTGTGTGAAATAGATCGTGTGAAAATCAAAAAAATCAAACTTTGCTGAAACTCCATAGAAGTGTTTAAAGGCATAGAAGCGTCGGAGCATTCAAGACTTCACCCTGATTCGAGCTGTCTTGTTAAGTGGCAATAAGCGAATTGAAAACACTTATGAAGTCGTGCTGTTTTTAATATTTCGAGAAAATCTAATCAGGCTCAATTATATTTTTTCGTGTTTCGGCTTCTGGTTTCTTTTGATCAATTCAATTTCAATCAAGGCAAATTACGCTCTCCATTTACGAAAGTTAAATTGTCCCAAGAAACGTGAATGACATCAGTTTCGAAAGCGAAATTCAATTGTTTTACTTGTCAGAGGAATATAAAACTCGCACAGTTTTCTCTAATTAGGCTGGGTTTATGAAGAAAGCCATTTTATAATTATTTTTGAAAATCAAAAGGCTTTGTCATAATGTTTTTTTTCTTCGAAAATTGAATGTTTCAAAAAAAATGTTTTTGTTTCCTTGTGTGAATTGACTTTTCTTATCATTTTGAGCCTAATTTTCGAGTCAAAGCACTTGACTCAAAATTTTCTATAATTTTCGAGTCAAATGCTTCAGTATTTTTTGTGAATTGGACGTGTATTGTTAAAAGGTATTCATAAAGCGAGAGCAAGTGTCATGTAATCGGAAACCAGACTTTTCCCGTAACCAACTTTTCTTAAGACAATAGGTAACAGAGTAAGAAATTGGTAAATTGCTTATTAGTGAACGTAGCAGCTTCCAGATTCCTTCCCATATAGCTAAAAGGTACGCAGTTGCCCTTGTACCCGAAGGTCTGGGGTTTCAGTCCCGGCCTTGTTTTTTTGAGTTTATGATATTGAATATTTTTTTTCGGTAATAATTGATTTGTCGGAATTTTGCTGGCCTGGTCAAACCTTACAGCTCAGTTGCCACGTCTCAGGTTTTGCTTGTGCTGTAAGTAAATTTCATTGTAGTTACAATTGTTGTTCTTTGTAATTTCAGGTGACTTGAAATTTTTTGAAGTTTTTGAATTCAGTGTGTTTTCGGCTCAACTGGCGTCTGTTCAAACATTGTCGGGTTAGTTGACATAGCACGTATTTTTTTGCTGCTATAAGCAATTTTTATTGCAGTTGCAAAAGCAGATGCTGCTCAGTGTAGTTTCAGGGGAGTTGTTTTTTTAATTTATCAAAAAAAACCGGCTCAACTGGTGTCTGCTCTAATATTGTCGACTTCGTTGCCACATCACGCAATTTTTTGGTCCGCAGCTAATTTCATTGTAGTTGCAAATGAAAGTGTTGTCCACTGTAGTTTTGGAGGGGCCTTGAATTTTGCATAAAATCTTTTTCTTTCGGCTCAAGGCGTTTTTTCAGGCAGTTTGTGACTAGATTTCAAAATTTAAAACCTCAATTTGTTCGAAATTTTGTGTGACAACCATTTTCTATGTCATTTTTTGTTCTTGACGCAGTCGGCGTTTACACACTTGTTGTCGGCTCAGTAGCCGCTCGAAAAAATACTTGAAGTTGATTCAATAATGATGGTGGTGTTTTTCGACAGTTCTCTGAATTCTTTTTTCATAATTTTGTTTTTCATTTTATTTATTCCGTATATATAATGCGTTGTATCTCAAGTGATGCGAAGCTCCGCGTCACCTCTGTTTTACAAATCAAAAGAGTAACAAAATGATGCAGTGTTATTTAATGAACTTCATTGAACTTTTTAAAATGATTTCTCCTCTTACTTTCCTTCTTTAGACTGCTTTTAATTTTAACATTTTTCAGATAAATTATGACTTAGGTATCGCACTGCTTGTCAATTCAGCGAGACTTGCTGCTGTGAATCATGTCTGACGATGATTTGGATCTTCTGCTGCTGGATGGACCCCACTCTCCCACTGCAGATGGAGCAGTCTTCCCGAGGGTGACCAAATTAGACTGTTTTTTGGGTCATTTCTGTTTTTGTGTTTTTTTTTCAGCTCTAACCCTCAATATAATAAATTCTAACAGCGAGAATCTGACTGGATGAATATAATTTAATGGATGCCAATGCATCGAGTTTCTTTAAGCTTCATCCAGTGTCTAATTTAGGGGTTGGAAAGTTAAATTGGTTTTTAAATTTTTTTTTCGGTATGATATTACTTCCTTGCAGTAAAAGAGTAGTTCCTTGAGTTTTTACAAGAGTTGAAATTGTTGACGAAAAAAAATTGCCTAACCGATTGTTGAGACAGCTACGTGGTTTAAATTTCTGAAATGACAATGATTTGGTCACTATCTATCTTTCTCTTGTTTCAGGTCCCCATGAAACATGGCCTCATCCTCAACCACACTCAGTGGCAACAGGGGGGCAAGGAGGGCCAGACGAACAGTGGGCCAGAGGTCACAGCTGCCTACGGAGGGGGAGGGGGAGGCAGGGGAGAGTCCACTGGGGGGTCATATGATGTGGCAGGCAGTGTCGAACAGGAGGTGTCCATTTCGAATCCGAACACGACCACTGTCTCTGGAAGTAGTCATCAGCTGTTCATCAATGCGTCTGAAGATGCAATGAAGGTATCATTATCAACATCATCATAATCATTGTATCACCTTTATGCACTCATGTTTATCTTTGTTTTTTCATACTCAAAGTGGGGAATAATTAAAGCTGTTCAAAATCCGCATATGCTTAAAAAATTGTGGTTTCTGCGATGAGTCGCAGAGGATCGATGAAATGCTATCCAGGCTGGCCAAGAATATTTCGTTTGTCTTAACATTGGTTTAGTTATTTATAATGTCTCTTTTTTAGGTACCATGGGAAGGATTGTTGTCTCACATTTAATTTGGTAGAAAGAGAGAAACTTTCATGTCAGCTATGTTTTTTCTCCGATCAAGTTTCTTTGATCTATATACCACCTGACCCATAATAGTTGAAATTTCCTGGTAAACGATAGCTTAGGGCTTGACAAACTTTTGTTTCCGTTTCTGCTGGTCCAGCAGTATAAGAGGTAACCAAAATTTCTGGGTTTTCAAATAATTTATTTGAGTCCGGAAATTGAAATTTTTTGTTATTTTCCGGACTCAAGTCAAGTGCTTGTTCTTTTTATTGCATCGGCGTAGTTAAATAGATCTGTATCGTTTATAACGGGGAAGTTGGATTTCTTGTATGAATCTGCTGTTATAGCCGAGCGTTTGAGTGGATCTAAAATCTCAAAGAAATGAAACGTTAACTAATTTTTTTTTCGCATTTTTTGTTCCGCTCCCTTTCTCTCTGCGTTAAAAGTTTTTGTGGTCAAGAACATAAGAAAATTAAAAATGTTTTTTTTTTCGAAAATTTTTGAACCATGTCAGTTTTTTTGCAGCCCTAAGAAAAGTATAGTTTTGCATCGCCTAATATGATCTCTTAAAGGATGTGATTTTTTTTCTCCATTTTTTCGCTCCTCAATCTATTAATAGTTTGTATCGTAATAGGCACTTTTGTTTAGTTGTTTTCAAATCATAAAAAATAGCTGATATTGTTTTGTTGTTTAGACCTTGTTGACGTCCATCTACGACCGGGGCTACCAGTTGTCGGGTCTGAACCGAGACTCAGTGGACTCGGACACCACCTTCACCGGCTATTCCAGCACCTGTGAGATGCGCACCGTGCACGCACTCGCATCGGCCGCCGCCTCTCTCGGAACTGGGGCTGGAATCGCCAGTCCCAAACTGCTGTTGAACTGCGACAGTTTGGCCCAGAAACAGTCGGAGAAGTCGCAGAGGTCTTACATGAGTGACAAATGTACGTAATGTTTTATAACAAAAAAAAACGTTCATTTTTTCTTCGTGTTTTGATTACTTTGAGCGTTTGATATTGCTATTTTTTTCTACAAGATAATTGATTCGTCAGGTTTTGAACGGAGAATCTTGTTTCGACATTCACTTTTTTGACTTGTTTGGAATATTCCATGCTACTTCCAGTAACCTTAGCTTCAATTTTTTTTTCGCTAGCCGCTGAAGGTTGTAACTATATTTACATTACTCAAAATTAAGGTTGATTTTTCCTGCTTAAAAAAAATGTTGCTGTCGCTTTTCTTGCGTCGGCTCAAAAGGAGCCATGAAAAGAAATGGACTGCTTTTATGGGATATAAAGACTTTATTTTTTTTTTCACGGTTTTCTTAAGATATTTTTTCATTCAATTCTGAATGAGTGAAATCTTACGATTTAAAAACCTCTAGCTTTAAAAAGAACTGAACGCGGTTGTAAGCTTAGCGTTTCTGATTTTGGTTACATGATTTTTTTTATGCATTCCTACCAGAAAAAAACCAAGTTTATCATTCACTAAAATGGTTCCTCAAGCAGATCTTCAGTCGTTGTGTAAGTTGTTTGATTTTTGATCAGCAGCAGGCTTTTATCTTCCCGACGAATAATAGATTTTGATTTTTTAATAACTTTTTTATGAGCAACTTCGAATGGTTTGCACAGATTTCATCCGGCGACAGGTTTTGTACTTCATAATTTTTTTTTCGGAAACTGGCATACACATTTGCAGTTTTTATCGTAATTAACGCAAAGTTCTGCTACGTGTGTTTGTCTCCATTCAATTTCACCCGATTCTCAACAGTTGTAAGAGACAATAGGAAATATGGAAAGTGGATCATTTGGCTGTAGTAGCGTGTTGTTGTTGTTGTTGTTGTAGCTGTGCTGGAGCTGCGTGCAATGATAGCGGAGTTGCAGCACAGAGTGTCTCAGACCTCCTCACGTCTAGTGCGTCTGCTGAAGAAGAAGGACAAGCAGCTGGAGAGACAACACTCCTACTATGACGTCATCACTGCCTCCTTACAGGCATCGTCACTCAAGAGAAGTGAGCTGCAATAGATCTATATAATTAGTAGCAAAAAGGACGCACTGGCAAAAGTAATTGAAAAGAGCAGTTGACCTTTTTGGGGACATTTTTGCATGCAAAAGCTAAATTTTCTGAGAGAATTTGTCTCAGGGTTGTCTGCAACATTGAAGTTGCAAGCAAAACTCTCAAAATAGAAAGATTGCTCTTTTTAATTATTTCTGTTTCCTATCTGTGCTCTATGCTTGACTTGATGCCTTATTGTTAGCAATATCCTTTTCGGTCAGCGAATCTGACCGAAATTGGTTAGCTGAAAACTGCTCAATTTGATACAGCGATCCGATGTGTTAGGCATTAATTATAATTATGTTTTGGGCTAATGTTAACCGGTGGAATCTCTCTTGGCAGAAGGACCCATTGACAGAAATGTATATTGGCCAATCATAATTCAGTATGTTGATGATTAATTGAAAGTATTCTACCATTCGGTTCTTTTGCCATGAGAATGGCCACTCACGTTAAGCGGCGAAGCTCCAGTTTCTCCAAGTATATAAAGCAAGCAATTTGAACGCATTTTAAATGATAAACATCATCTTGAAATCAATTGAAAAGCAATGGAGAACGTTGGAATCGCAATGCTTAACTTACGCTGAAGTTTTTCGAAAAATATCTTGAAGAACCAAAGAGTAAAGTATACCTCGCTACATTCGTTACATTTTCTAAGCACTGGTGTTGGATACTGGTTGTGGGATTTTTATTATTTTATTTGAATTTTAAGCTTCGATTGGACCCTCATGATGTGAGTATTATTGGTTCCATTATCAGTCAGCTTGTCCTAAATTGTTGCATGGTTTGTTTACCTTTTGTTATGCATGCGAATCATTATCATTTTATTGTGTCAGTTTTTTTGTCATCTTTAGCAGATGCCGAAGACTTTTGCATAATGGGATCAATTTGTTATGTGATCATGCAACTTGAAGATTAAAATTTGTTGAATCAAATCGTTCGAAATATTTGTATTGCAATTAAGGAGCTATCCGTCGAAATTGGAGAAATCCATCGAAACCGACATCTATATAATTTTACTAGTCGTAAATTGGCTCAAGTTACCACCATAACGGGCACGAGTTTTTCTCGGTTTTTCGTAATTCTCCCTAGAACGAGTTTCACTGAGTAGTGTAAGAAGGGGGCCTTCATAGCGACCCTGAAAAATCCACAGTTACTGATTGGCCGACAAGGCGAAATGACCAATCAATCTTCTCAGTCTTTGATTGTGGATTGTTTGAAATATACGAAAATGAAAACTCGACTACAAACAACAACGACAAATACTTTGTTTTACTATTTCGGCTCAGATAAGTGGCTTACAAGTAGTAATGTTTTCCAGCATCAGTGACAGCGTGTTTAAGTATAGACAGACCCTCCAAATAGAGCACTGTTCAATGTTTGAATTCGATAGATGCCACAAAAAAATGTTGCGTCGACTATTGCAAATGTGGGGTGAACTTTGTCTTCGGGTGTGTTTTAGTTTTTTGTTTTCCGCGCAAAATCAATGGAAATAAAAAAACCATCAGAATAGGTCGATCAATATAGCATATTCAAGCTCTCACTGTGGTGATTCGAACGACTTTGCAAGATATTGTTTTGTGGGGAAAAACCGGTTCAAAGTTTTATATTTTAGTATAATTTCCAGTGAATGAAGCAAGCGAGTAGGTCTTATAAAACATTCTCTATGAAAAGGAGTTTTGGACGCTTCATCTAGAGCTTTTCTTAATTTGTTTTTTTTTCCTTTTTCAAACAATTGATTGTTCTAAGACAGCGGTAGTCGTTTATTTCTACTTCATTAACAATCTGCACGTTAGTTTAGTTCTCTCATCGCACAACGCACAAAACTTGGCGCTAATTTAATGAAGGAAACAATATATATGCATGGGGTGGTCGGAACCTGCTGTGCTACTTGCACGGCAACCGGCTATCCTGTTTGGTATACATTATTGAGTGAATTGAATCGGGTGATTTTATTTTGTTTTTCGAGGAAAAATCCTTTAAATTGTTTGCGCCATTTTTCAGCTGTTGCTGCGTCAATTTTGTTTAAGGGTAGGTTTTTTGTTTTGTATTCCACGCAAAATTAGGTACCTAAAAACCATCATCAAGGTTTCGAGTGATAGATCATTTTAAAGCCCGTTCAGTGGTGAATTGAGCTACATTAAAAAAATTTAAAAAGTGTCGGTGTTGAGAATAATTGGTTTCCAGTTTTTGACTTAGTCTAATTTCGAGCAAATAAAGCAAGCGGGCAGGCTATTAAAAGGAAGATGATTTTGTTTGAGCCGTGAAAAAGTTGTCTTGGGCTGAATTTCACGCAGTTTTTCAGTTTTGGATCTGATCTGTTTCGTTTTTCTTAGAACAATTTACGCATGGACGTTGATAAAAAAGCAGCAAGCATCCAATCTTTTCACTGAATCATTTGCATAGTTTTGAGCGATTATTACCCTACTGCTGCAGAATTTTTCTTATTGTTCCGACCATTGACAATGGGGAGGAACTTTATATTCGGGTGAGTTATAGCTTTTTTGTTTTTCACGCAAAATCAGGTACAAACAATCATCTAACTGGGTTGAGTGATATATCATATCAAAGCCCTTACAGTCGTGATTTGAACCACTTTTAGAAATTTTTGTTTAACCAGTGTCGAGAAAAACCGGTTTGAAATTTTTGATTTTTCTTCTTAATTCGAGCGAATAAAGCGAGCCAGCAGTCGTATTTTAATTGCTTAAAAGCTTACAATAGCCCAATTTAAAACGTTTAAAACATAGTTTTTCTTGAGTAACGTCAGTTTACTTTGAGTATTTTAGCTCCTTTTTGGAATCAAAATTTCCCAAAAGCATGCAAAAAAAGTGTGTCAAAAATTTCAATTTTGTGGTCTCTCGGACCTAACTTTTAGTTATCTTTCATTTTATTTTTTGCCGATTATTTGAATGCTCATCTCATTCAAAGCTCGCATTTTGAAATTTGATGAACAGAGTTCAGACTCTCATAAAGGTCGCGATGATTTTTTTGTTTTTCAGGAAAATTGTAAATGACATATAATTTCTTTTCAAGTTCACTTCGTTTCCTTTTTTTAAAAGGAAGGCAAACGCAACTATCGAACTGCAAAAGTGTAAAGGCCACGAAAAACGTGATAACATCTAACTTTGAAAATGGAATTTAACTATCGGATTTACCAGCGAAATATAAATTTTACCTATTGATCCAGTTTTCTCAAATTGGGTTATTTTTATGAAAAGGTTTCAATCATAATTTTTTAAAGAAATTCCTAGAACTTTGAGGCCATATATATATTTTTTTACTTGCTCGCATCCATGAATTCTTTTCCAACCGTCCGATTGCTATATTTTCGTAGTAAGAAGGCGAACTCGTAAATAGACCCCCCCTTCCTTAGGATCTTGACATAATAAGTTTCTTCTGAAGACGACAATATGCTCTTTCTGATGCCATAAAGGCTTAAAAACGACAATTTTGCTCTATTTTATAACAAATTGGCTGCGGCGCGGAAACTTCTGGCGCAACGCGCAACGTCTTTTATGGTGGTTTTTAGCATCGAAGGGGCTCGTCTGCTCAATTCAATTTAATATTCAGAAACGTCGAAACCTCCTTTGGCTCAAGCCACAAGTCTATTGGGGCTAACGTGGTGGTGATAAAAGAACTATTTACACTAGCAAGCTTGCGAGCGTAGTGTATTAGTACGAACCTTCTTTTTTTCAACGTAACTCGCAATTAAAAGTGTTCGTTAAAAGTGTTTTAATATTGGTGGAACATTTGCTATCATCACTGTTTGTAGCGCTGTAATTTTCATAGCATTTGTTCTCAGCTATATTTGTGGCTAGTGCTTGTGATTTATTAAGCATTCGTGGTTGAGTGGAAAGTGCGTGAGACTCATAATCTTTTGGTGGCAGATCGATTCCGAGGCGTGGCCAAATTTGTACTAATTTGAGGTTTATTTCTACTTTTTAGAGCTGCTTTTTTCTCGTGTTCTCGCTAGTGTTTGCAAAGCGCAGTTTCGCTTCCGTGTAACATGGTGCTATGTCGGGTGTGTCTGGTTCAGTTAGGCTTAGGTAGGTTTTAAGAAAAAGACCATATCCGAACCTCGAAGAAGAAAGGTTTCTTTTGATCCTGGAAAGGATAAGGATTGTACGGGATTGTTCTCACGCTGAGTTCAGATGCAAGTTGAGAAAAAAAGATTTGACCTGCAAAAAAATAGTTAGTTTTTACAAAAACAATTGCTAATTCAAAGTGCTGAGCTGGCGATTGCAGATGCATAACCTCCAAATATCTTCCGATCAAACCCGCGTTATCTCAGCGTGAGAACAATCCCATGCAATATCAATAATTAGAGGAAACCCCTAGCGGTGCTATAATTATAGAATATCAATATTTAAATAATTCGACAGTGAAGAGAGTAGACGAAAGGCAAATTCCTTCTCTATATTTTGTCTAACCTGAGTGGTGTTAATAATGATTGACAGTAAACAGCATTGTAATTGGATAAGAAATGGAAAAACTTACAACACATCATTTTCCTTTTTTTCATGCATCGCTGGAGGAAAAGCAGGTGGATAAAATAAGAAAGCACATAATTTTGATGGCACCAATTGTTTTCAAGCAAACGAGAAAGTTATAATAATCATAATCATAATTATAATAATCATAATAATCATAATTATAATTATAATAACAAAAAAATAATTTGTTGGTTTTTCAAAATTTCATGGAAAAATTTAGTTTCTTGAAACCAAAAGAGTTTTTTTTGAAATGTATATCAAGAGTTTATTTCTTCAAGCTAAAAAAAGTCTCTGGTCTTGTTTAAACACTTTGATCAAATCTACGGACATAAGAATTCCTTGTGCTATACGGGTAACTTTAATTCGAAACAAAGCACTTAGAAAAGAGTTTCCATGTCTTTGGTTGAGTGAAAGCAAGCAACATTAGAGCAAATCATGCACATGAAGATCATGATCGGAAAG